TTTAGGAGAAACATGCCTCCCTAAAAATATAATATTTAGTAAGTGTGATAGTATATTGAGGCTTTTTGTTTGTATCTGTATTTTAGTGTCTTTTCAGGAAGAGGACTGTAGATGACATACAGAATAGATCAGGTTGTGCCAGGAAGTCGTGGTTGGCTTTTTTAGACCCTTAAGAAATTCCTCTTTAGAAGCCCAGCTGCTCCAGTGTCCAGCACTGATCATGGTACTCTTGAAAAGACAACCTCCAAGGAGGTCTGCTCTGATGAACAGAAATCTTTACTTTAGATATCACCGGGACCGGAATTACAAGTAGGGTTGGAAGAAGCTGGAGAGAGATGAGGACAAAACTCCTGATTTCTGGGTTCATCAAGTTTGAACATAAAGCATATGTGCATGCCATTGGCTCAGTGGAAGGTCTTCAAAATATCCGGAACTATCTTTTTGGAAAGATGTGCTCCTTCTGCATGCTGTAAAGGCAGTCTGAGTTCTGTTCTTTTGCTCTTGCACTAACCTGTTAGGATGGAGCTGAAGCAGTGAAAACCACAACAGTGAAAACTGGGAGCTGTGGGCAGCTGAGTTCTGGTTTTGACCTTCTTGGTGGTGGCCCATCCTTCAGGGAGCACTGTGTTCCCCCTTAATCTAATCCTCATCAGACCCGTCCAAGGCATTGAGCTGGGCTGTGCCAGTGCTAGCATCTGCTGCCTTCTCCCTAGGGATTCACAGCAACACTCTTGTGTCAAGGGTTGCTGTAATAAATGTGACACATTGTTCTCGAAAATAAAAAAAAAATGGAGTTGTCCCCTAAAGCACACTTTGCTCTCTCTGTGTTTATTCTGTCTGCCATGGTACAATAATTGCTGCAAAACTTCTAGTGCATATATCACGTTACAGATTAGCGCAGGCCCTGCGGTTCTTGGAACAGTATGGGGCTGCTTTTGTTTACCAGTGACATTTATCCTCTCATTTCCTTTTGGAAGCCCGACGGCTTTTCACTGTCTGATGGGGAACGTACTTGCAGGTCCTTCTTTTCATGCTATGGCTGATGATAAACACACCAGTGCATGGTATCTGTGTCTGCTCGCCTTAGAGCCGCTATTACTGCTTTCAGCTGTCAGTTTGGCAAGAGCTTGGTTGGGCAGGAAAGCAAAAGGATATCTAAGTACAATTATCTTCTCTTGCAGGAGGAGACCGAGAGCGGATGACAGCTAATCATGAGACGTACCTTCTTATGGCAAGCACACAGAATGACATGGAGGATTGGGTGAAATCCATTCGTAGGGTTATATGGGCGCCATTTGGAGGAGGTGAGTCAGTGAGAGAAAATGTCAGACTCCCAAATGAATGAGGACATGCCGGGGTTATTTTGTTGTCTCTCAGCCACAGTCAGCGTTTCGCAGTGGAGAGAACGATCTGGATCTTTCCAAAACAGTGGGAATAAACCCTTTGTTTTCACTTGTTATACCGGTATCCGGCATGTTCCCACATAGCGAGATCAGTTGAAAGTCTTTAAAACATCTAAAACTACTTCCCTTGAGAAGGAAAGCATGTTGTAGAGTGTCACCAAGGCAACAGGAGTTTTCACAGCAGATGGATCTTCTGTGAGATCAACTTCTCGCTGGGAAAACTGAGATCATGCCTTTGGTCACCAGCTAGAAGATTGCTCATGTTTTTTCACTGTTTGACTGTGCTAGGGCCGTCCCATTTGAGGCCAAACACCATACAAACATCAAGGACATCAGTTCACGGCCCCTCTTGGAAGGGCAAAAACACTGTTGTCCCCACTTTGAAGGAGAAATGGAGGCAAAGAAAGGTGCCCAAGACCTACACGCTACTGCAGAAGAGACTGTCATCCATGTACAAAATCTTTGCTCTGGCCTCATCCTTTAGGATAGAAGCCATTGATTTCCTTCACAAAACCATACGCCCTGCTCTTCTCTCTCCTCCCAAAAGAAGAAGGGAGGGAGCGTCTTTATTCAGTTGTATTCAGATCCATGAAACCTTTGTGTGCTACACCTAGGATCCTTGCTTTGTGCAAGCAGGATTGTATCATTTGGAAACAGGAGAAAAGGTCACCTGCCATTTCATGAGACCCTACACACACCATGAGAAAGGACTGAAACAGAGTTATACTAGGAACTAACTACAGGGTGCACCATTTTGCGCTTAAAGTACCACAGACACTGTTGCTGAGGACATTCTGCAAGTGGTCTGATAGCTGTGGTCCTAACTAATACAGAGGGTACTGTATGCAAGGAAGTGGAGCTGGGTCACCATGCTGATGAACACCTGTCGCAAGAGGCTGTCAGTGATTCCCCTGCAAGTGACGGCTAAGGCCGATGATGCTATTATATAAAGCTATGCCCTGGAGTATTAGCAAGAGCATTATGTGATAGATTCTTTGTCTTTTGATTGGCAGACCCAGTAATTTCAGTAGTACTGGATCGACATTTATTGCCAGATGTCTTTTAAAAAGCTCTCTTGTACTGAATGGGCTGGAATTGCTTTCATCATTTTCAATATTATTATTCTTGTAATAATATCTATGTTGTTATCATACCAGTATGATTCATACACCTGCAAAAAAAATCTGTACATCAATCAGACCGTTCCGTGGAGCTCTCAAATCTCAAAGTTTGAGGACAGGAATATTTTCCCGCCATGGAAGCACACCAATATTGCATCAAGGGCTTTTTTATCTTGTTAGCAGATGTTACTAGACTGTGGAAAAATAAGTCAGGCAGGATTGTCTGTGCTTTTTTGTGACAGAGAAGAGCAGTTATCACTGAAAATGGCATTTGCTGACTGCACACGTCTCTTATGCACCTGTCAGATACACTACAGGAGAGAGGATGGGAGACACTAAGGGAAATTACCGTTTTGGATAAAACTTTTCTTTGAGCCACCCATCTTTCTTTGTGCTTTATTCAGGTGACACAGTTCTTGGGAGAAGGCTTTGGCCATTGCTGGTGGGCTGCCCCGAGGGACTCAGTTAGCTGGGGGCTTGCCTGCCGACTTCTCAAACAGGTCTGTCTTCTGTTTGGCACTTCCTGTGGAAACACGTGCTGGAAATACGGTGCTAAGCAGTCCTTGCACTGGCCCCACTGGGATTTGGGCCTACGTGCTATTAAAGGCAGAGCTTACCAGCTGGTACAGTCCCAGATCTGGACACGTACATCTCACAGGAGAATGTTCAAATCCCACGCAGTGCAAACCCCACAAGCTAACAAGGTGAAAGGTATGTCTTAAAAGGTGTGTTCTTCTGCAGGCGTATCGAGATGGTGTGGAACTGGGGAGGCAGGAAGCACTTAGTCACTTGCAGTTTGGCTAGGGAAGAAATGTGCTTGTTTATATGGCGCAAAGATCACCCATCTCGGACTTTCCTTTTGTAAAGAAAGCCTTATATTGAGCTCTTCAGAGTTCTTCTCCTATTCCAGTCCGTTTGCAGTATAAGTTACTGTGGCAATAACCAATATGGGTGCGTAACAGAACTGTATTTTTCAAGGAGGGAAGCTGTCTGTGTGTTGTGTGCCTGGCGTCTGTCATCACAATATTTGTCTGCTCCAAACAGGAGCTAAAGCATCCCTGAAGTTCCTCTGCGAAGTGGAGAAGCCTCACTGTTTTACAGGTTGGGAGCTCAGATCTGGTGAAACTGAGCTGCTAGTCCAAGTCTATGCACAGAGGCAGTGACAGAGCTAGAAACAGAAACCAAATCTCCCGAGTCTTGATCATCCTGGGCTTTCTTCACGAGCCCCTCATTTGCATTTACAGGGCAAGAGCTATTTCTGGTTTACAGTTGGGAATCCTTCCAGCCACCGGGGAAATTCTCAGGACACGGTCATTGTTGTTGAGTGTTTAATGGCACTTAACGATGGAAACACCTAGCTGAGGACTTTGCGTGCTGAGTTACGTAAAACAGGAGAAGGGTGCAGTCCTTGAATTACTGTTTTCAGTAATTCATTTGTAAATTCATTTGTAGTTAAAAACACTTGCATGTTTTTTTCCCCATTGGAATTTCTGATCGAGTATCCTGACTTTAAGGTTATTTGTATTGGGAAGCAAACAGTTAAAGCCCTGGAAAATGTGAGAATAGATGGAAATGGATTTTGGCTTTGATGTTTGTGAAGACGATATCAATATTGTTGTGAGGCAAAAGTGGTGTATCACAGTATGTGTCACCATGAAGAATTGTGCCTCTCGAATGTCCCCTGTTTGATTAACTATTTCTTATTTAAGTTGATGCTCTGTGACGTTCAAAGTTTTAACCAGCCCTGTTAACTGTTCTGTAACGAGGTATGAATAGACATATTTTTATTACCCCGTCCTACAGGAATTTTTCTAGAGGTTTCTAAAGAAAGGTTCTTCTCACATGCGCTGTTTAAGAGCTTGTATTTATGAGCTGTAACCACTGAAGTTAACAACCTTTTTGTCTATTACATTAGCTATAAACAAAATATAGAAAAGTTGTAGTCACATGATGATGACTGGCCAGTAACAAGTAATTACTTGTAGCAAAAAATTAATTCAACTAGCCAGTTAATCAAAACACCCATATTATTTCTGCTTCCTAAATTTTAACACGAGATGGTAAGCCACAGTAGTCTGGTGTCATACAAGTCAAGTGTCAGTTTGAGTAACATATTTGACTTTTCTAGGTCTTTTAAGTATTATAAGCAAGTTGTATGCATGGTCAACAGATAGCTCTGAGCCCTGGTGAGCCACTAATATTAAATGTTTTCTGGCAGTGGGAAAGGACTCCGGGTACCAGAACAGGTAGCTCTGTAAATGATTAACCATATCATTAAATTGTTATTTGTTAACCTGTGCTAGAGAGAGAAAAGACGGGGAGAGGTGGGAATCGGCTAAATTGATCAGAAACAGCTTGTTTTTGCACCAAAAGAATAAGCAGTTATGGAAAAAATTCTGAAAAGGAAAAGAAATGTAAATGAGCCAGGACATGTAATGCTTGTTTGCACATGACATTCCTTTCCTGATTAGATTTAAAAGGGCAATTTTTTACAGGAGGGAAAGGCCTGAGCTTTAATTGCAGAGCTTGAAACTAAGGGGGAGGGAGGAGGCAATACGAAGGGACCGTGAGCATTTTAGCAGGGGCAGTAGCGTAAGGTCTGGCACCTCCTGTGGGAGCACAGCCTGACTGCTTTTCAAGCTGCCGCACGCGACCGCCGCCTGAAGTCAACTCAAAGTCGTCCACAACAGCAGAGAATCGCGTTGCAGCAGCTCCCTCCTTTACATTGTTTCCCCGCACCTGCTGCACGAGAGTGGCTGGAGCAGAAGGCAGCGGCAGCGGTGGCTGCCATTGCCAGGCGTGGGACCAGGAGGAAACGAGCTGAGCATCCCCGTGTGGAGGCACGTATTCCTCAGCAGCTCCCCAGGATCCTGCTGGCAAGGATGCGCGGCTGCCGCATCTGACGTGTTTCTCCCACGAGAGCTTCTGGTAGTTCGAAGGCAATAAAATAAGCAAGAAACCCAAGAGAACATCAGACAGGGAGCTGGGTATGTAAAAGGCCTTTTGAAAGGAATGCATTACGGACAGAGAGCCTTTTGGACGAAGGTATCGGTTTTTTTGCTCCTCAGTTGCAGAGATAAAAGGAGTCAGCAAGGAGTATTGTATCCTGGAGGATTCCTCTGTGGCCTTTCTGGTATTGTTCTCTTCTTTCCCCTTGAGCACTGCAAAGTACTGACCTTTCCCAGTGGAACTGGAGTCTCTGCCGCTCCACCCCCGGTTCCAGCTGAGAGGAAGAGGTCTCTCTCTCTCCCCCTGCGTCCGTGCAGACACTTCTGTTTGAATCGAAGATATATCTTTTTGCTGAAACTCTTTTGTTGTGACGTTGCATAATAGGCAGTTGTCTCACCGCAGGAAATAAAAGAAACGAAAGGAAATAGATGGAAGGAAATTTTTCCCCAAAGCAAAACTGAAGAAGGGAAGAGAACATCAAAATCACTTCAAACCCTACCCGGGATCCAGAAGAACACAAATCTCCTAGCTCCGGAGGAAAATACTCTATTGTAAAAACTCCTCAGCAGTCAGTAACGATGAACAATCGTGGTGCTTCATCTGGGTGCAGCTGGTAAAAGAAAGCTTTGGGGGGACGTGGGGGCTCTGGCCTGTATGATGCCTGAAGATAGAAATGCTGGAGTCCGCAGCCCAGGTGCCTTAGCTGCAGCTCCTTTCATTCCTAAAACTACTTATAGGAGAATTAAACGGTGTTTTAGTTTCCGTAAAGGTAGGTCTGTTCTGTTGCTGTGTTCTGCTTTGCTAGTGAAGCCATGGTTTCTGTGAAGTCAAGGGGGCTGTGCATGCTGGTGCAGATGAGAATACCAAAACAAAAGGCATGAAACAATGCAGATGCTGACATCCCACGAATGATTTATTTACTTCTTTGTTCATTTATTTGTAGTTGGCAAGCTGACCTTGCCTCTCGATATAATAGCCCATGAATGGGCTGCCTGAATGAGGTGGCTTGGGACAAGATTATTGCAGAGCCACTGAGCAAAAATCAGTGAGAGGAGTGAGGGAATTGGACGTGTGATGCTCAGAATTGGCTGTTTGGCTGGCAGAACATTAGGGAGAAGAGTTCAGGTTTGTATTTTGTCTGCGTGGGAGGAGAGGGGAGAAGAGAGGGCGCTAAGTAACAAGATAAATACGCATCTATACAGAAGACTTGAGTCCTTGGATTCTGAGATTTTTGATGGACTGAGGGGGATCCATACAGAGCACTATCCTCTTGCAAGTGCTGCATTATTATTTCATCCTGCAATCCTACAGCCTTCCCTTTCGTTTCCACTTGCTGCAGAGA